CCCCAAAACCCCAAAACCCCAAAACCCCAAAACCCCTATTTTAACCAAGAATACTGATAGAGTCTAATTAATTCGACATGCTATTTAAATCAATCAATCCCAAAAATGGAGTTGTACTCAGGGAAGCTATTCCTTTCTTCACCAAGGAAAGGATCTCACAGACTATTAACAGCTCTTACGATGCCTTCTTGGACTATAAGCAGCTGTCTCTGCCAGAAAGGCTGGCTAGATTAGCAGCTTTACGAAGAAATTTAGAAGCCAACGTAGAGACTTATGCCAAGGTCATGAGTAAGTCACTTCTTAGGGAGATTGGGTGATAAGTGGTATAGCTGATGAAATGGGCAAGACTATTGGCCAAGCCAGAGCAGAGGTGCTCAAGTGTGCAGCCCATTGTAGGTATTATGAAGAACATTCAGAGGGAGTACTAGAGGATACGTATATTGAGACAGATCTGAGCAACTCTTATGTGAAGCACCAAGCGACTGGACCTATTTTGTTAATTAGTCCTTGGAATTTTCCGTTTTGGATGCCTTTTAGAACAGCTATTCCCAATCTTGCTCTAGGCAATACAGTGCTGTTTAAGCCTGCACCGAATACATCTTTGTCAGCTGAGCTGATAGAAAATGCTATGAGAGATTCTGGTTTTGAGGATGTCTTCCAAAATCTCTATTTTGATCATGAAGATACTGATCCTATCTTGGCAAGTCCAAAAGTACAAGGCGTTGCATTCACTGGAAGCACAGGAGCAGGTAAAGCTATCGCTTCGATCGCTGGCAAATATGTTAAGAAGGCAGTACTGGAGCTAGGGGGTTCAGACCCTTTTATCATCCTTGACGATGCTGATCTTGATAAAGCTGCTCAGGATGCATGCACTTCGAGGCTGATTAACAACGGTCAAGCCTGTATTAATGCTAAAAGATTCATAGTGCATGAGGCAGTTTATGATGAGTTCAAGGATAAATTTGTCAAAAATATTGCAGCTCAAAAGGTTGGGGATCCTCTTGACGAATCTACTAATGTTGGGCCTCTTGCAAGGGATGATTTACATGAGAATCTTAGAAATCAAGTTCTCAGAGCTGTCAAAAATGGTGCTTCAGTAGCTCAAGGAGACTTAGCAAGGCTAGAGGCTCCTGCTAAGGCAGAAGATGGCTACTATTTCCATCCAATGGTCATAGAAAATATCTCTGTAGAGAACCCTATTTATAGAGAAGAGTTGTTTGGTCCTGTAGCATCTTTGTACAAGGTATCGAGTTTGGAAGAAGCAGTTGCACTTGGTAAGCACTTTTCTAAACTTTATAGCAAATGACTCCAATTACGGCCTTGGAGGAGCAGTATTTTCGAAAAATCTTGACAGAGCTAAAAGAGTAGCATCTGAAGTAGATACTGGAATGATGGGCATCAACTCTTTCTGTGTCAGTGATCCTCATCTTCCCAATGGTGGTGTCAAAGAGAGTGGTATAGGCAGGGAGTGCTCTCATGAAGGACTTTTAGAGTTTGCCAACATTAAATCTGTCTCCATTCCAAAGTAGAGGAACTAATTTTGATTTGCGCAACATTCTTCCAATTTTTTGTAACGAATCTGGGGTTTTGGGGTTTTGGGGTTTTGGGGTTTTGGGGTTTTGGGG